AGCAGTCACCGGCCACATCGACCTGATCAGTGTTTGATTGTTGTGTCTTGTTGCTTTTCTTCTTTTGTCTCTCCTCTATCCACTCACCCCAACCGGTCGAGGCAGAAGGCCGCCCACCAAGAGCCGGGGTCTGTTGGAGGTTTCTTCCGTTAAAGGGAGTTTTTCCTCCCCACTGTCGCCAAGTGCTTGCTCAAGGGGGATTTGTTGGGTTTTCCCTATGTAATAATATTGATAACAGTAAGGTCTAGACCTTACTTTTAAAGTGACCTGAGATGACTTTTGTTGTGATTTGGCGCTATACAAATAAAATTTGATTTGATTTGGTGTGAAAAGGGAAGGTGATGGCCTGGAATCACTCCACACTGATGTTGACCTGCATGAGTAGCTGGTTACAGCTGACAGGGCATAGGTGAACTGCTGCAATGGGCACACAGACACTGACAACTGCTGTCCTTTCCATAGTGCAGAAATGAGAAGAACAGCTGCACCATGTCTACCAAGCACATTCAGGTGGTCACTGACAGCCAAGCTGACCGGCACTGCGTTATAGCGGGTCTGCAGGCTCTTGATTTTAAAAACAGCCCAACAGACCTACAGGTTACCAGGTAAACCCAAGGCTAATGTTAAGACTGGAGAAAAATCACGTGAGTATCTTAGTATGTGGTGGTGTTGTTCCAGAAAGTATGCACATGCATCATTTCACCTGTGTTTGTACTTCCTCTGATGAAGCCTTTAACTATGAACTCTTATCCATCCTAGACAGAGTCTGTTTGGTATAGTCCTCATCAGGGTGCCACCACTCAGATTCAGCTTAGGAGCCTTCACCTCTGCTTCATGATGAATTCAATTAAGAAAATGCTACAGATGGTAAATTAGTTGAAGTGGGCCCCTGGTTAAAACTAATTCAAGGGTGTTTGCCTTTTGTTCTGCCCAGCACTGATTGGGAGGTAACAGTAGGCAGGAGTTGATTAGCCTGTAATCAGGAGCATGTGGAGTTGTCTGACCTTGCTGTGCCTTACTGGAGAGATTACAAACAGTACACTGCACAATTTGCCCCCCCCTTACCTTCGACTATAAACATTAATGGTTGGTGTATAAGAATTTGAGCATAAAGATCTTTTTCACCTCGGCACTGTGATAATTTATTGAGTTTCGCAGGCTGTAAAATGGTAGAGCATTAACAGCGAGACTTGGAAATATATGTGCCACACTAGTAATTTATTAGAAAAGTAATTGTGACATACAGTTTATGGTATGGCTTAACTGAAAAATACCCCCAAACATTTCCAGTGCAGTGTGTTGGGCCAGAGGAGCCAGAATTTGTATTGCTGTCCTAATTCATTTTTACAAAACATCGAGACGCTGGACTGGATTAATGCACACATTTCTTAGTAGAAAACAGCACGGTGGGAAATCCTGATTAACCGTACAGACAAGTCAGTCTTTCAGGAGTTCTTCCACGTAGACAGTATTCATACGATATGCTGCCATCCAGTTATGAGCTCCACTGAAGTAGCTCTGGTAACCTCGCTCTTGAAACGGTGACATGGAGGCATAGTAATCTTTCCAGGCTCTGTAGCAGGCTCTCCAGTAAGTTGCAGTGCTCCACTCCTCCTCCTCTTCATGTTGTTCTTCATCCCTGTCCCTCTTATGCTGTGTCTTCATCTTTCCTGAGAGCCTTCTGCTCTGTGTCCCAGGCTCTTCCTTCATCTTTTTTGATTCAATTCTGCTAGTCCACGCTGAAGCTGCCTGATTGGTTTCCCTGCTCGGTCTGATGCTTGGCACAGATTCATGGTGTTCCAGCTGAGACAAAGCTCTCCCCCCATTTGATGCACAAGATGTGTGGTGATATGTGTTGGGTGCAGAAGTGCTGCAAGCTTTGGATATAGTGAGACTTGCCTTTGGTCTGGGCACAATGGGTGTATATCCTGCTTCAGTCTGAGGCTCACTGACTGCTCTATACTCATCCCCTGTAGTCTGAGTTGAACTTCCCAGAGTCTCATCATCCAGCTGCTTCTCTTCCATATCTGACTGAGAGCTCGAAGAATCACAAGATGACACTGGATGTGAAAAGTTAGATTTCCAGTGTTTTCCATTTCGCATTAAACTTTGAGCTCCATCGTCATACAGTGTGACAGTCTCTCTGTGTTCGATCTGATCACTCTGGTCGTCGTCCTCTCGACCTCTAAACTCCCTGATGATCTCCACTGATCTCCCTAACCCTGTGGTGATGAAGCTCTCAAAGTCTCGCTCAGCTTCCTCAAAGGTCATAAATCTTGACCTGCAGCTCTTGAAGGAGCTGAGCGGTAGGATCTTTGGTAGTGCGTCTTGCAGCTCTTTCCGAGTCGGTGCAGCCTGAGTCTGACTCTGCGGGAGGGTGTCCTTTGCACAGGATACTTTCTTAGGATTCCCTTCAATGTTCCTCACCTGCTTGGGTGCTGGATGTGTTTCCTTGCGCTTTCTTTGCCCACTGTGCTCTAAATCTTGATCCCCAGTGTAACCAGACACAGAGACTTCAGTCTTTGCACGCCTCTTTTTCTCTGTCATGGAGAAGAGCTGGGACAAAGGACCTGGAGTGGACGCTTCAGTGCAGACATCCCAGTCACAAGGATCATCCATCAACCCAGGCTCTATGATGGCTAAAACCATAATTAACAGATAAGGAGAAAAAAAAAACCATGTAAAGAAAACAAAATCTCCAAAGATGAAAAGGTTATACACGCTGGATGTAAGATTTTTCACAGATGGGAATGGGACTCACAGGGTAGCGCAGTCAAACTTAGGCTGCACTTTTGAGCAATGGCCATCATCTTGTTCTCCTCCTCTCCATGGCAACAGTAGGTCACAGCCAGCCCCTGAGTGCCTATCAACAAGAGGTAATGCTCATGAGAATCCTTTTACATAACAGGAAGCGATAAATAGGGTGTGCACACTGTGCATACAGGGATGGTAGGCACTTTTTTATATGCGCACACACATAGATCTGTGCATGCAAGCCAAGACTGAATTACTTTGTTTCAGAGACAACACAGAAGTTAAGATCATTCTCATGCATTGCAGATGATTAGAAACTCATTGACCCTGTGAGGTGGGTCAACCCTGCTCCAGAGACTAATGCTAATCTTCAAGTGGTGTTTAATGCAGTCAGAGAGAGTAGGCAATGCTCCTCGGTAAAGCAAATCAAGACGAAGTCAGAAACATAACGAGTGAAAGAAGCCGTTTTTATGCAGTACAAATAATTTACCACCACGAAGGAAATGGATGTCTGTGAGGGCTGAACATCACAGGCTTTGTCTGGTGCTATATAAAGGCTTTTTTTCTTGGCAATACTAAGAAAATGTTGAAAATGAAAACATTCAAACATACCTACTGAATAAGGATCACTGAGGTGATTTTAGTTTGGGTTTTGAGTCAAATTAGTGGGCAAAAGTGTACACCTAAAAACGCTGTTACCCCCAAAATATGGAACAGGACAAACTCTGATGCAACTTCTCTACAGTTTCTGCTCATGGACAGTGTCATACCATCCTGGCTGCTTTATAAGGCAGCAAGGTGAAAATGATCTCTCTCTAACGATCTGGCTTCTGGTTGCCTCTGATTGTTTGTTTCTGCTACAACCCAGCAGTATTAGATACTAACCGAAGCGGCCAGCCCGTCCAATTCGGTGCATATAGGTTTCCCAGTCCTGAGGCACATCCAGGTTTATCACCAGGTTGACTTTCTCTGCGTCTATACCTCTGGAGGTCTGGCACAGAGGAAAGAACAGAAAACACAAGGGTTAAAGAACAGAAGCTCATCATTAAGTACATGGTTAGTAGAACATTTAATAAAAGTGATAAAGACAAGAATGGTAGCGATGGGTGTCATAAGGAAAGCAACACAATGAAAGATGTCTCTCTCACCAGGTCAGTGGAGACGAGCACCCTGCACTGGTACTGCTTCAGTTTTGACATTGCCTCCAGTCTCTGATCCTGACTCAGCCCACCTGCAGGGATCATCGCGTTCAAGTCAGATCACATCAACGCTGCTAAAACAGAAAACTGCTAACAATAGAAAAACTGTTTGTTCTCTTTAACAGAATGAGAAACTAGCCTAAATCTAACCTAACCTGAAACTATGTTTTTTTTTTATTGTGTGTGTGAGCACCTCTGATTTTAGGACAAAACAAGCAATTTAACAAAAATAAATAAAAATCACCTCAGGCTTAAGGAAATTGTGATGGGCATGTTTACCATGTTTCCAGGCTTAATTGTGTTGCAGCACCACCACCACCTTCACAGCAATCATGGCTTCAAAATTATTTAGTCAATTCTTTTTCCAAGCAATACATTTTAAAGACTATGACATGTCAAAATATTCAGAAAGGCCTATGACAACCTACAGAACCTCAATGCTGTGCCTAGCTAACGGCAAACAAATAAATCGCACAGTAGCTCATTTAAAATTTTGCACAAGGCAAAAAAATAAGTTACCTGGCAATAAATTCAATTTTGAAGAATCAGTAATCTAAACTGTATCATTTTCTGTTGATTACTACTGGCACACAAATATTGTTTTTGCCAAAGGCCGTCTCACCTGAGATACAAGCAGCAGGCAAGCCTTTGGAGGACAGGATGTCTGCCAAGTGCTGGGCCCTGGGGAAACAAGCATCATTTAAGAAAGTGTTTCACAGATAAATAATCAACTCCCACATATATAATCAATAGTACCTATAAAGAGCAAGCAAGCAATCTTTATTTATATAGCACCTTCCTAAATTCAAGTTACGAAGTCCTGCACATCAGATAAAAACAAAATAAATTTTAAAAAATCATGATAAAACAGATCAGAAGAAATGTAACATAGAAAACAGAAGACAACAGGCAAAAACCTGAGTCTAAGCCAGTGTCAAACCAGTGTTCACCAGTGTAAGCCAGTGCTCCTTCAAGTGTTTGACACTTGAGGGAACAAGTGAGTGTTTAAGAGTGTATAGAATTTGTCCAACTCATGGGCCAGTGTGTAGGGGCTAGTATTGTAACCATGAGCCAGTGTGTAGGGGCTAGTATTGTAACCTCTACCTAGGAGCTCTCAAGAGCATTTGGTCAGAGGATCTAGGAGCTCTGATATAAAGACTGATGCCAGGTCATGAAGAGCTGTGTGGTTCACCACTACAGCTGTGAAAACAATCCTACCATATGTTTAACAGGGAGCCGGTGAAGTGAAGCTAAAATCTGAGTCACATGTTCCCATGTGCGAGCACCTGTCAAGACACAGGCTGCAGCATTTTCTACTAACTGCAGTTTAGACAGAAGTACTGAGGGGATACTGATAAACAGAGCTTTACAAAACAACTCTAGAGCTAATGAAAGCATGGACAGCTATTTCAAAGTCATTAGACAGAAAGTGCTTCAATTTGCTAAAAGTCTCAGTTGAAAAACAGCTCATCTTAACTACTGAGTTAATCTGTTGATCTAGTTTAGGGGTTCTGTCAAACAGCACTCCCAATTAGTTAGCATTTTAAGATAAGCATATATTTAATAGGAGCGTATGCATTTAAAGTACATCTTACCTTGTGTGTAAGTTGGAAAACACTAGGGCCTGGTTGAATGGGATTTTACTGAACAGTTCTAGTAAGTGCTGCACCTTCTCCTCGAAAACCTTGTGAGGTAATGGATGGGACTGCACCAACTTGTAATACTGCTTCAGACCTGCGGGGAGCGCACATGCAAGGGCTTTAATTGAAGCACAACAGGACTGAAAAGAGGAAGATCTGTGTTTTTTTTTAACAGATGAGCCAATCACCATAAATGCTCCTGGTTGGAAGTGGACACAGTCACTGATATCTGAGTACCAAGCCATTTTCCATCATTCATTTTCAACAATAAAGAACCTCTGTTACTACTGCAAAGTAAACAAGGCCTAAGTTTGATTCTGTTTTCAGTGTGAGCCTTAATGTTGCTATTTTCTTACTGCCAATCACCTCATATCCTCAGGAAAAAGATGTTTTCTACCAGGAAATAAGTCACATCACATTTACAGTAATTATGATAAGTAATTTGCCTAACATAAAATAATAATTTAACCCTTTAAAACAGAATGTTCTCACATTTCTATGGTAGCATTGTTACTGACCATGAAAGTGGATCTTACCTTTGAGGCCCAGGTCACTAGGATTGAGTCTAACAAAGGTGGGCTCTCTCATGTAGCGGGTAAGGTGCTGAGCAAGAGATTCTGGGTAGGTGGCAGAGAGTGCAAGCATCTGTTTGTTTACAGGCAGAGAGGAGAAGATCCAGCTGAAGGAGAGTGAGGGAGCAGGGGAGAGAGTCAACATGTGTGGGTTTTATTTAGACAGATTTGCAATAGAAGGCTTAAATCTAAGTGGCCTGGCTGTGCTCAGTACACCAGCCTGCTGCCATACCACCAGTATGATTATAGAGGTTTCTGTCCAACATACTTTATCTGTTCCTGGAAGCTGCCCTCCTCCAGCAGCTTGTCAGCCTCATCCAGAACAAACAGCCTGATGCTGGCGGTGGACAACATGCCCAGCTCGATAAGCTGCTTGATACGACCTGTGTACATGACCACAAACATAGTTGGAAAACACAAAAACCAGCATGACAGTTACATGAACAGATAATGCCATTCTATGAAGACCCCCCCACCCCCACTGGCCTCTTACCAGGTGAGCCCACAGCTATATGGCACTTCTTCAGATGGGATTTGTCCTGACTCACAGGCCTGCCCCCAATAAAAACATGGCACTCCAGGCCCTCCATGGCACAGCCTATGGCCATCACCACCGCATGAATCTGCACCGCTATCTCACGGGTTGGGGCCAAGACAAGAACCTGCAGGTGGGGAAAAAAATGAGAGGGGGGGGGGGCAAAATTGATTGAAAGCTGATTAAAGACAGACAGGTGCTGTGGGTTCCTAATCATAAGTGGCTAATAAGATTACTTCACACTAGAATGTGGCCAGTTCATCAGCAACACCAGACACACAGCACATCTCCTACTATCAGTAACTGTCATCTTTCATGAACACTTCTGACACTGAGCAACTTAAAGTCATGAGATTAAGACCCCCAGAACTAAAGTGATTATTTCTCATGACCATCTGTTGTTGGTAAAATTGAGCAAAGTGGTAAACTTCATAATAAAATCTTCTTCCCTCTCAGAGCATTTTTCTTTATCAATCTTTTGAAGATACCTAGAGGTTGGTCATTATTGTATTGTACAATGATGTAACAAATTTGAAAGATACATTTCTCCATATTTCATTAATCACCATGATCTACTGCATACTGTTAACCTGCTGACCTGAGTGGCAGGATTCTCCAGGACGAGAGAGTCCAGGGCGACAGTGCAGAACACGCATGTCTTCCCCGTGCCGGACTTGGCCTGTACAATCAAATCTGAAACGACAGACAGACAGCGTCGAGCTCCACAATTAGTCTGAATGAGCATAATCTCAATTTTAGCTTCCAAAATTAATTAAACTTGATTGGGTTCAAACTGAAGCTTCACATGGAGAACGTCTAATGTGCTGCATGAAATCAAGTGGCTCTTAGCCACAGTTAAGCTGTGTGACCAAACACAGGTATTTACTTAAAGAATGCTGTGATTAACTGCATTGTTTCACAGCTGGCCATGACCCAAACAACCCGCAAGCTGATAACTATATCTCCTATGTGGATATAAGGTCAACAAGCTGATGTTAGCTATATCTCCTATGTGGATATAAGGTCAAAGGTCAAAGTGTTTATTTGCCATATACACAGTTAGGAAACATGTTTCCCTGTACAATGAAATTCTTACTTTGCCATCCACATGAATGCCACATAATACAAGTGAAATATAAAGTAGATGAGCAATAACACAAATCTAAACAGGCCGTAAAATCACAAATCTAAGGCACTTTAAAGCAACAAGTGAAGGGATCAAATAAAAATACAAGAACACAATAAATCATTGAGTTTGGTTGCAGAAGCATTTTTCTAAGAGCAAAACAAGTATAATAAACTACTTTGTTCCTAAAGAATTATTCAGAAGCATGGTAAATAATTGTGATGTTAGCAGAGATCACAATAATGGTGGCCATCACTTTAACATCAACTCTCTGTTCCTCCTATTCTTACACACTTGTCACTCTGATCTGCCTTCCCCACACCCTTCCTACTTCTCAAAACAACCTTCAGATAGAAAACTCTGATTCCAAAAGAGTTGGGATTCTGTGTAAATTGTAAAAATAAACTGAATGAAATGGTCTGAAAACCCCTTTTACACCATATTCATCTGGTAACAGTACAAAGATATCTAATGCTCAAATTAATATATTTTGGTGTAGTTAAGCTTATTCTGAATTTGATGCAAGCAACATGCTCCATATACCAACTGGACAGGGTCAAAAAACAGCTGGAAAAGTTACATGATGCTAAAAACATACAAAAACCATCTGGTGTAACAACTCACAGCTACTTAGGTTATTTGGCAACAAGTCAGCATCATGAGTGGGTATGAAAAGAGCATCCCATGCCAAGCTCCATGGGCAGCTTGCACATCTGTGAAGGCACCATTAATGTTGAATGATGTATACAGGTTCTGGAGCAACATGCTGCTATTTTCAGGTGTATCATGAAGTGAGAAATCTGACAAAGGAGGCTCCAAACTGTTGAGCTGCGGAAATTCTTTTTGATATATTGTCCTTTGTGCTATTTACAATAAATTCGTAGTTTAAAAAGATTTCCTAATCATTTAATTCAGTTTTTATTTACAATTTACACAGCATCTCAACTTTTTTGGAATTGGGGTTGCAGCTACTATATCATCGTTTCTCGTCACGTAATTGGCAAGATTCATAAAACTTATTCACAGGAGAGGAGACACAGTGCAAATAATAACTTTGCACACTATATTCTTTGTCCTTCATCCCACATTGTGTGGAAAACAAACTGCCCCTGCTTCATCTAATATCAACTATAAACATGTGGCCTAGTTTGTTTCTGCAGAAACAAGGCGCCTCGTTATTTTAATGCACACACAATTAGTCTACACAACGTGAATTACTTCAGCTACATAGGTTTTATGTTCGTGTAGTCCATCATTATAATTCTACTGTGACACAAAACAAGACGTCACTTGGATGTAAATGTTCCTCTATACGTCTATCGATAAAAGGAGTGCACGGTAGCAGGTTAAGTTTCTTTGACTATTTGAAAACTGTGCTATAAAAGTTCCTCTATCCGTCTATCAATAAAAGGAGTGCACGGTAGCGGGTTACGTTTTTTGACTATTTGAAAACTGTGCTATAAACATAACAGCTGTCTTGCGTCTACGCAACTGTAAAACCACATCTCTATATTCAGTCAGTCAACCTGTTTCTAGACACATATCCATGTACTAACACAATCTATTTGACTATCATATACACACACATACACATGGAGTGGCCCACACGGGTTTATGAACGCACCCAGTCCGCAGCGGCCCAGCGGGATAGCCTTGAGCTGGATCGGGGAAGGCTTCTGAAAGCCAGCGGCAGACAGGCCCTCCAGGACGGCCTGGGACAGCAACAGGGAGCCGAAGTCGATCCCCTCTGACTGAAGCACATCATCGGTCCGCCTTCGCGTTTCTATGTCGTGAGCTGCTTTCCTCATGGAAGCAGCCATGTTGACTGAACCGTCAACGTCAACGATCCACAAAAACACCTCGGAGCTGCGGCAGAGCTGCGGCAGAGCTGGGCCCATACAGCCCTCTAGTGACAAGGGGCGGAATTAATCTGGTTTTTCTTTCTGAGCTGGGATTAAATATGGGTATCAGTCAGGGGTTAACTGATTTTGTTAGCACGTAGCTTGTGTCATTACTGTTGATTGGTTGACAAACAGTAACCTATTTATAGTTCATCTATTTTATTTGTTTGAAGATGTCCTGCATATTTAAGTGTAGGCTATATGTCAAAATGTGTACAAAAGCTACAATTCTTCTGTAGCTTTGGCCAAAATATGTGCACGCAACTCCAGTCCTGGAGCCTATATTGTGTTACTGAATCCTTGGGTCAGTGGCAGATGTAAATCCAGCAATCATGGAAAGTGCAGTCTTATAGGATATTAGTCATCAGAATTACTGTCTTCAAAATCTGGATTTTCAGATTTGGATTTCAGTAATTAAATGTCATGATCTAGAGCCCCTCTCATCTTATTGGGGATCTTAGAGGTCACATCTCCATCTCCTTAGACTTGGGTTGGAATTGTTTTGAACTGTAGATGGACCACTGACACTCTACTTTCATACCAGGAATCAGTTTTCCACACTGCAATCAATCAACTCACTTAATCCACACTGAGCAAAATGGGGCCTGTCATCCTCCATGGAAACTCTTCATCATCTCACAGCTCAGTCAACACACAGCTCCTTTCTCAAGATGGCTACAATATTCTGGCTGTTATCATGGGTGTTTTTTCTGTAGTGGGGATCATCCTCGATGTCTTGGTGATTGTGGTGACAGTGACACAGACAGCTGAGGCAGCCACTCAGCTACGCCCTGGTTAACCTGGCCATATGTGACCTAGGCTGTGCCGTGTTTGGAGGCCTGCCCACAACAATAACAAGTGCCATGGGATACTTCAGCCTGGGAGGTGTGGGCTGCATATTAGAGGCCTTTGCTGTAGCCTTCTTTGGTGAGTCTGCTTCATTTTAAAAAATTGTTTTGTTTTTTCCAAAAGAAGAGTGTGTCAGTACTTTCAGCTTGGTATGATTTAATTTGCACAGTGGTGCAAAAGTAGCTAGTTTTAGCTACTTTATATACAGTTGGCAGTTAAACTTACAGTTACACTATACTGTTCACTCATCTTTGCTTTTTATTTATGAAACACTGGATAATTTTATATTTTGGGGCCACAAAAGATCATTAAATGAAACATCTGAGAATTTCACACAGGAAAGCATTCTTTGGTGGATGTGCACAGCTCATCTACATCTTAAACTAAACACTGCATTTTTATCAGGGCTCGCAAACCAAAAAGGTTTAATATGAACGTATTTGTAATATAATACAGTATAAAACATAAAATGAAAATACTTTTAATAACTATTTATGTAAAATACATGAGTAAATATTCTTAGTTACTTTCCATTGGTGACTTTGCATTATTTGGTTCAACACTCAGGATATATTTCCATGAAAAAATAGGTAATCTTTACTCCTTTCTTCTCTTCTGGAGGGCGTCAAGATTTCCTGCGCTCCAAACTGGAACAGCCGGGATGTTGGGAACATCTCCTACAGTATTATATACTTCTTCCTTAGTTTTGTTGTGCCCTTCTCGATCATCATGGTGTCCTACTTACAACTCTTGTGGACCCTCTGTCAGGTAGGCAAAAAAGAGGCTGGATATTTTGTAAATTGTATCGTTATCATAATAAAATCTTTTTGCTTGCATTGTGATGTCATAGGTGACTAAGCTGCAGGTATCTGACGTAAACTGTGTGGAGGTGCAGGTGGCACGTATAGTGGCAGTAATGGTGTTAACATTCCTGGTCACCTGGTTGCCATATGCTGCCATGGCCCTTGCTGTCATGCTGGACTCCAGTCTATATATTGACCCCGTCATTGCTACCGTGCCGGTTTACTTGGCCAAAAGCAGCACTGTCTACAACCCTATTGTATATGTTTTCATGAACAGACAGGTAATCCTTCGCCATGCACATTTATGTTCACAAAAACAAGCAAAGAAAGCATAAGAAAAACAATTCATGCATGTCATACTCTCTCTGTGTGTTTCCAGTTTCGAGGATACACTGTTCCCCTTGTCCTGGATGGAACCCGTGGGCTTCAGACTCACAAATGTCTGAGGGACCACTGTTGTTTCTCTCAACAAGAGCCAAAAAGTGTCACCTAGAGAATCTTTAATAAATGTCTGAGGGTGAGACCACTGTTGTTTCTCTCAACAAGAGGCAAAAAGTGTCACCTAGAGAATCTTTAAATGATTAAAAGTGAATGTTCATGATCTCACTCCCGAGGCAGCAGCTGAACTGCACAGGGCTGCAGAAAAGATCCGTTCCACAACTTTCAAAAATATCAGTCAGGGACTGATATGGATGCTAGGAATAATGGGTGTCTGTATTAAAAGAAGACCTGTTTTAAAAATCTTTATGTAGCCATGAATAGAATGGAGGAAGCTATGTCATCATAAGATTCCTGTTGTGTTCAAACTGGGGGCACAGGCTCAGAGGGGTGGCAAATTTGAAATACACATAAAAGGTAAATTAAACCCCTAGTTCTATGAAATAATTAACCACACATTATTAAGAATTGTTTATTCTGTGTAAAAATGAGTCAGACATAATGCTTTCTTTATCTAACTTTGGCTGCGCTCCTCATTCACTCGCGGCCGGGGACATCGCCGCTGCAGTGGTCCCCCCCACCCCCACTGCAGCAAATGATGCAAAGTATCCAACAATAACAGCAATTGGAGTAATGAATCCAAGTATCAGGCTGCATGCATGATTTTAAATAAAACTATTTGACCAATATCAATTATAAAGCACTAGAATAATGTTAGTTGTATTTAGGGCAACAATTTGTCGTTGCATTTCAATTTTCATCCATTAAGCATCACATTGAGACTCTAGTGGGTGGCAAATCAGATTCTGGGGGTGGCCAGTGCCACCCCTGGCCACCTCCTGGCTCTGCCCAGGGGTGTAAGCTATAGGTGAAAACACACTTACTTGGTTGACAGGGCCTACATAAAAGAAATGTATAACTGCAGATGCATTTCCAGAATGTATTCTAGCTCAGTTTGGACAGATCTTAAAAATTTGCTGTGTTGCTACATAATTATCTCAAAACTGAGATGCAAATTAAGTCAATACATTTAAATGAGGATATTTAACAAACCGCCAAAGCCCAGTAACATTGGACAACAGGTATATCTATATGTAGCTGTCACACTTCATACCAACACATTTTCAAATGGTTTAGGACAAGAAAAGATGTACAGTACTTACATGTACAGTACTTTATTTTTATTAGGTGTACACACCCCTTTGCTCCTTAAGGTCTGTGCTTGAACACAATAACCATCTCTCTCACATAAACAGACCTTTCTATGACTTTTATGGCTTCATTGACAAAAATCAAAATTATCAGTGGGTTATGCCTTTTGGATCCAGCATGTTAAACGATGATAAAATAAACTGAAATCAACCTGTCATTAGTTTAGTCAAGTCTCACAGTTTGACAATTCACAGTCATCTCCCCCTCTCTAAATAAACAAATGCCTGCTCATCCTAGTACCTTGGCCTTTTATTGATTACAGAGATATTGCTGTGACTTTCATTAAAGAAAAGCAAAAAAAAAAACCTAAACTAAACAAAAAATAAACTTGTACATACAGTGTGAGGGATGATCTATGTACATGCTACATACTGGCGAAGTCTGGGTAAATGAGTAGTCCTTCTGCCAGGCACGGGCATGGGATCACTTCACCCTTTCTGAAGCCATCTTGAGAAAAAATAAGAAGTGACCCAAGGGCAGTGCCTGAGCAACAGGAAACTCAAACTGTCACTCATGGGTCAGCTCATAGATACAGTACATGTTGACATGTCAACTGACTGTTCTGTGCTGGAACATCTGGTGCTTGGAGGAGTGTCTTTTGTCCTGTTGTTTCTGGCAGTCTGGAAAAATACCAGCATGAAACAACAGTGTGTCTGAGAGCTTCAAGTCCAGCTAAATATTCAGACTCTTCAGTGGCCAGGCAAACTGACTACATAACCATTTTTACTCTACTGTGTACCTTGTCAGATTTGTCACACTATTTGGTCCCAATGATGGCAGTACACCACTTTTTTGAATACTACATTATCCTAATCTTCGTCCTATTTAAGGTACAATCTTCAGACTCATTAGGAGCCATTCCAAGTTAATGTGGTGTAATATTATGTAATAAGGTCATGCCCCATGCTAAAATTAAACTAAACGGAGGTACTCCATTTCCAGCAGCAGCTACTTCACATACTAACTGAAAACATCAGTGTGTTAATACACAAGCATAATTGAAGGAATGACAAGCAAAATCATGGGTAAGGTAATGTCTAAACAGCAACATTATGATCAAACTAACAGAGAGTGAATAATACAGAAGACAAAAAGGTTTCTGGTCATGGTCAACACACTCTGCTCTACTGTGGGGGAGACACAGCACCAACTGTACCTCACAGCATCCACACAATGAAACTAACAATAAGTCCTGAGCTCAAGGAATGTGCAACATGTCCCCAGCCAGTTGCCAACTGTTCCAGTGGGAACACAGTAAAGACTGAGAACAGCATCCTGGAATTATCACTGCCTTTGCTAAAGTAAAAAGTATATTCATATATACAAATTAAAAAAGCAGTCAAAATAAATGCACAGGGGGTTGGGCACGAGAAGTCGGGGTTGCTGAATGGATGTTTACTCGTGATCTAAAGAGGTAAAAATCAGGTGCAAAGAGAACAGTTCAACATCAACACCTGGACATCACACAACAATTCAAGACAACTTCTGTGTCAAGGCAAAAGAGGAAGGGGTGTCTAAGAAAAAGCAGGTTAGGATTTGTATGCTCCCTTGACCTCTGTCCTTCAATAACATCCTTCTTGTGTAGTGAAACAGGAGCATCTTGCAGTGTAGTGTTCTTTACAGCAGGTGAGAATGTAACAAATCGCTGAGTTTGTGAAATGTTTTAATCGTAGTGTAGTGGTTCCCAACACATCCTACAGTTAGTAAGTTGTTTACTTTTTTGGTTTACTACTTCAGTTCTTTGTCACTCTTAATATCTACTCTGTACTTTACACCCTATTCTGCTTGAGTGACCGATGAGGTAATGTAATGACAGCCACCCTGACCTCAACTGAACAATAAGGTGCTAAAGTTCAACTCTGTAAACTCCAGTGATTTATACTCTTAACTTTCAAGTGAGTGTTACTATATATGTGTAAGATCATGTGATAAAGGGCCAAGAGGCTAGGCAAGGGTCTAGAGCTGAGGTGCAATATTCAGAGTTTGGATTCAGGCTGAGTTGTTATGAAAAAGCAGTTTTACAGCTCAGTCTATGTACAACAACAGTCTGAAACAAAATGGAAAAGCACAAGAGAGACTGATTGGGTTCCTCTTTCTGTTTTTGCCCGTGAATCGTGTCCACTTTCAGTCTTTCCTTCTTCACAGCTCACTGATACAGCAAGTTCTGTTGAAAAATGAGGTGGCTCACATCCTGAACGCTGCCCTCTTCTGGACACTAGCAGTCGTAGCAGCAAGGAGAGTCTTGCACTCCCACTTCTAATCCAGCATCACGCACTTCTCAAATCTTTCTGTCTTTAGGGTTAAAATGAGTCTTTATTTTTTTCAGTCAAGTATAAATTCTTCAGCCTTAGTTATATGTGGTTTTGTGTTGTCATTTTGTTGTTTGTGTGTTTTCTTCTTAAATGTGTGTGCATTTCTGCAGCAGGGTGTGTCGCTCCTTCAGTGTGGATGTGGCAGGGTCAATGAATGTACATCTGACAGGTCACTGCCATGTGTCCCTGTCCTCCTCACCTCAGCGCCCCTGCCAGCATTAAAACAACACACTCTGCCTCCTGCTCTTCCCCTGGGCTGAGAGAGAGAGAGAGTGAGAGAGAG